ACATTGAATATGCTCATAATCCCAATCCTTTGTTTTGCCTAAATAACCTCTTTCATGTCCCTCAAATCACTAAAAACCTGTTGAGTGCTTCACAATTTGCCAAAGACAAGCAAGTTTTCTTTGAATTTCACCCCCTCTCATGTTTTGTGAAGGATCAAGCAACCAGGGAAGTTCTATTGGAAGGGAACCTTAGGAATGGTCTATACATCTTTCAGCTCATCTAAAGCAAGAATCCAGATGTCCACCAACAAGAAAAACCCTTTACCAGCTTTCAATCAAGTGTCTTTAGTGCTCAGCTTCTCAATAAAACAATCTTAGATTTATGGCATTCAAGAATGGGTCACCCTTCTTACGATGTAGTGAAAAACAAAGAGCATTGACACATTGTAACATTCCCTTTTCTGGAAATGAAAACTCTGTTCCTTGTGTTGATTGCATGAAATCCAAAATGCATAAGTTGCCTTTCAATTCAGGTTCCACTTATTCTTGTGAACCACTTGAACTCATACATAGTGACCTTTGGGGCCTTCACCTTCAGTGTCTCATAATGGTTTTAGGTACTATGTAAGCTTTATAGATCATGCCACTCGTTTTACTTTGATTTACTTGCTTAAACACAAATCTCAAACCTTAACTGCCATCACTCAATTCAAACAGCTTATTGAAAATCAGCTAAACAAGAAAATTAAAGCTTTGTAAACTGATGGTGGGGGCGAGTTCATTGGCATGATTAATTTTATTAACCAAGCTGGGATCAAACACAAAACTTCTTATCCTTGTACCCCAGAGCAGAATGGGTTAGCTGAAAAAAAAGGATATGAATATAGTGGAGGTAAACTTGTCCCTTATTTCCCAATCTAGCATGCCTATGATGTATTGGGATGAAGCTTTCACATCAGCTGTTCATTTAATCAACTTGACCCCCAAGAAAATCTTACAATACATCACACTTCATGAAAAGCTCACTGGAACCAAAGACGGATGTAGATGGGGCCCAGGAGGGCCTGTGGGCCCCCCTGACTTTTTATAAAAATTCAGTATATATATATATATATTAAGAAAATATACCAAGTAAAATTTACAAAAATACCAAATTAAAAATGGCTTGAGATTAGTGTTTATATTAGTAGCGTACAACTTTCATTAAAAAGTGTTCTTGTACCCAAAAAAAAGTGTAGAAATGTAAAAAGATTATTAAAACTTAAAAAAAAGTGAAAATATTCTTATATAATATATATAATTAAAACTTATAAAAAATCAATATATATATATATATATATATATATAATACTATCAAATATGTATAAAAATTTAAAAAATGTTTTCAATATATTAATAATTAAAACTTATTTCTTATGCTATTTTTATTTGCATTAATGATACTATTTATTTATTGAAAAATGTACCAATAATCCTCATATTTTAAATTCGAGATAAGCTTATGAAAATATTTTTATTTACTCATTCCGTTCTCTTAATTGTAAATTTAGCGATTTATAAAACTGATTATTTATTAATTGTATTTTTATATATTTTAATGTTGATTTTCTACTCTATTTTTTTGTGTAATCACATATTTTAAATTTTATTTTTTTCCTTAAAAAAAGTTTATCTGATAATCTCTCATCAATAAAAATGCTATGCAATGTGGTGCAAAAGTTCAATTTAAATTAATTTTTCAACCAAAAAACTTATTTTACGATAAATTATAGATGTTCAACTTAAATTATAAGTACATGAAATCTCATTATTTTTTTTGTTTATTTTTTAAAAAGCTTGAGGGTGATAGTGATTCTATGTTTTTAAAAACTTGATGGTGCACATATCTATATTTATATTTATAGTAAATACATTTTTATATGAAATAAGTGTTCGACTTAATCTACAAACTCTTTATTTAACATTTAAAATCGGGCCCCCCTGAGTAAAATTTCTAAATCCGTCACTGATTGGAACTAAACCAGACTATACACACTTAAAAAATTTTGGATGGTTGTGTTTTCCAAACCTCAGACCCTTCACAAAGAGAAAACTTGAACCTAGAAGTCAACCTTCTACCTTCTTCGGTTACAGTCCAAAGCATAAAGGAAGTCAATAGTCAACGCCGGAGTCAACTAATAATTATTTTATTATTTAATTAATGTATATTTTAAGGAGTGGACTCATTTTAAGGAGTGAACTCATATATATAGGGGCGGATCAAATGAGGCCAGCTCTTAAAATGCGGACAGCTCTTAGCAACTACAGACAACTAACCTAGCAACTACAGACAACTAACCTAGCAACTTGATGTGGATACTTTAATAAATATTATTATTATTATTATTATTATTATTATTATTATTATTATTATTATTATTATTATTATTATTATTATTATTATTATTATTATTACTACTACTATTATTATTATTATTATTTATTTAGTAGCTTGATGAATAAGTTAGGTTTTGAGGCTTTAGGAGTCTTATTTAAAGACTCCTTCTTCTTTGTTATTTGGGCAGTTGAATATGAAATATGAAATATGTTCTTGCGTATTTTCAAAAGAAAGTATCTCTTTTATCTTTCTCATTTGTACGCTTTTTTCTACATCAGTTGGTATCAGCAGTCAGTACGATTCGCGATGTCGCCAGGACGACAAGATGTCGCAAAAAAACACCATGATGCAACCTTCAACGATCGGTTTCAACAGATTGACTACCGATTTCAAGAGTTGGACGTGCGTTTCACGGATTGGTTTGCCGATCTTTCGACGGGGATCGAGAATTTGCATTTGACGCTTAACAACGTGGTTGTTTCGAAATTACAAACGAACCGCGATGGAGCTGTGGGCGTGGCTTTCGCGAGGGAGACATAAGCGGTTGTGGGGGACGCAGCCGTGTTGGGGCACCCCGGCAGCGGTCCCCGCCATCTCTGAACGGCATCGAGGATGGCGACTTCGCCGGCGGTTATCGTGCCCGACACGATTGGGGACTTGATCGCGAATATGGTCAATTGGAAGGCCCGTTTTGCGTTGACATCCCCAAATTCGATGAAGAGCAAGTTGACGGGCCATTGTACGATGGTTCGCCTGTGTTTGATGAAGGACCCGAAGAGGTGGAGGAGTGTCTTACCGACGAAGTGGACGATTTCTACGACGGTCCGCCGATTTTAGATGAGGAACCTTCGGGGCTAGAGGAATTCCATCATGTTCCGAGTATCAAAATTCAACTGCTGGAAGAATTGGTAGTACTTCTGTTGCGCAGGCCCGAGCTTTTCTCCCACGAGAATTTGTTGCGACCTTGCAAACAGATGTTGTTTTTTTATCCCCACGGTGACTTCAATATTTTATGTGTGGTTGTTGCATATATGTCTTTCCATGAATTTGAAGGGGGTGATACCAGGGAGGTGAGTTGTTCAACCTTCGTATTCGACCAGGGAAAACGACGGGGTTCCTACCATGGGTTCGGGTTTGATGCCACACGTCGGCCACGGGTGCACATCGGCTTCGAGGGCGAAGCTTTCCGAACCGGAGGAGAATGATGTGGATACTTTAATAAATATTATTATTATTATTATTATTATTATTATTATTATTATTATTATTATTATTATTATTATTATTATTATTATTATTATTATTGTTGTTGTTGTTGTTATTGTTATTGTTATTATTATTATTATTTATTTATTTAGTAGCTTGATGAATAAGTTAGGTTTAAGGCTTTAGGAGTCTTATTTAAAACTCCTTCTTTAAGTATGTTTATTGAGTCCCATGTGATCACTTTAAAAATGTGGACTCATTAAACCAATCCTTATATATATGTATGTATATAATTATTATTTTGGTGGGCTAGGGAATTAAATATATATATATATATATATATAATTTATTTAATGGAGATAATATATCTACATTACCTCTTTGATAAACATTGAGCGCTACTACAACACCCGTGCATTACACGGATACTTGCTATTTTTTACTTAAAATTTAAAATTCATGAGAAAAAGTTGTTGAAAATTTAAATACTTTTTATAAAAAAAAAATAAAATTATTATATATTCTAGTATAACACTTGTTACTTGCGATAATATTTCTAACTTATAACATATAACTACATTAAAAATTAATATATTAGTTGAAAAATAATTTTAATTAATCATAATAAATTAATTTAATTAATTATAATAAATAATTTTATTATTATTATAAAGATAAATATAATTTATTTATTTTATATATACAATATGGATGTCAAATCGAAACTCATCAAAAGATAATTAATTTAATATATTATATATGTAAAACCGATAAGACATACAAAAGTTATTAAGTTTTAAATAATTTTCAAATTCAATGGTTATAATAGAGAACGATATTAAAATACAATTAATACATCTAAAATGATTATAAATAAATCAACATATTTATGGCAATCCGAACCTAATTATTTTTTGCTTGGAATTAAATTAAAATCTATCCAAGCCAATAATGAAGCATGAAATTTTGACACCTAGGATCCCGAAGCATGCGAGTCTGCCACTTAGGCTCAGCACATTCGAGAATTATATATAGTGAGGATTTCGGACAATAGTATAATTTTACTAAGTCTTTATTCAATGAATCATATACTCTACCTGATAAATTAATATTAACATTTGTAATGTCAAAATAATAATATAGAACTTTTTATTAATTTGATATTTTACTATTTATATCAAGATTCTTAAATTTATAGAAACTTAAAAATTATATATCAATATTTACATAACGAATTAGATATGATTTCTAAACAAAGTTCAATAATTTTTTTCTTCTAAAATTATTTTAGGCGAAAAATTATATGATAAATGTAGCAAAATGGATTGATCCATCATAAATTTATAGATTAGTGATTAACCTTTTATTTATGTTCTATTTCTCTTTGTTTATATCTATAAAGTTAGTGCTTAAAATTGCTATTTTCCTATTTATTAGTTTAAATGGTCCTAAAAGTTTATGTCTTGTCAATTTGCAGAGTGGCGAGGAGGAAGTTGATGACTGTAGGGAAAAGAAGAATAAAAATAAGGGTTTGAAGGAGAAAATTGTAGAAAAAGTATTAGGCGAAAACAAACAAGAAGAAGAAATTGTCACGGAAGTTATAAACGAAGACACTTTAATACCAATAGAGAATATTGATGATCATCACATACCAACTCAAGAGGAGAATAGTGTCTTGGATAAGATTAGGGAGAAGCTTCCTGGCGGCAATGAGACTGAGGAAGTGGCAGCACCACCACCAACTCCAGCAGCCGGCGCTGTGTACGCCGCCATTTCCGAAGCTGACAACCAAGAAAATAAAGGTCTCTTGGATAAGATCAACAAGAAACTTCCGATTTAGACAACAAATTAAGGGAGAAATAGATAAGTGGTTTACGATTGTGAATATGTAATAATGTTTGGTGGTGATGTAAGAGTGTGGCTTGTTCATGGTGCTTATATACGAGGTGGCTATGTATAATTAAGTGAAGCTTGACTTTAAACCTTAGTTGGAGGGTTTTATTTGCCTTTTAAGTGATGTAAGAGTGTGGCTTGTTCATGGTGTTTATATACGAGGCGACGTTGTATAATTGAAGGGAAGCTTGGCTTTAAACTTTAGTTGGGGGGGTTTTAGTTGCCTTTAATATTATGGTCTAGAGTAAGAGTTTGATGTATCAAATCTTGAAGCATATATATGTTGAACAGTAATATACTTCAGTGGGTTTTGTTAAGATTTTCTGTAATGTTTTTTTTATTAGAGCTACTTAGCAGATATTTGGTTTTTAATATAAGTGTCGAAGTAAATAAAACTGTTTGTGAATTGAAGATTTTTTTTTTGCCTAACTATAGAGAACTCAATAAAACTGAAGAAGAACAATAGTTCAAAAACACCCCAGAAAGTCCCAACCAAGCCAAAAGTAAAAAATGAGAGCAACGCTTAAGAAAGTGTGCTAGAACAACGCCAAATGAGGCATGAAGCAAGCACACCAACTATAGACATCAAGCCCCAACACTTAACCTCACTAGCTAACAGAAGAAGCAAACCAAAAGAAAGACCACAAAAGAAACCAAACCTACAACCAACATTGCAGCACACAAAAACATACATAAAAAAACCAAGCACTAGAATCACTTGGCCAAAGCACATAATTCTTTCTATTTTGAGAGGGCTCTCTTGACAATAACCGGTTTTGGCAAATTCTCTTGGTTGAAAAGCAACAGGCTCCTCAACAGCCATAACCACTATAGGACGTAAGTTGAGAGCTGGATTCGACTCTTTGAGGTTTCAGTATTATTCACATAACAACCTTGCTGCCACCAGCTTCTAAAACTGCACCCATCCACCTTAATTCCATCCCACTGCAAACGAGCTATCTTCCACATTTCTTGTGCTCTCCTAAATTTTAGAAAGATATGCTTAGTGGATTCTTCTTCTTCTCCACAATGCCTGCAAATTAGATCAATTTGAATACCCATCTTTTTTGGAGATTTAGGCTCACTGAGAGAATACCTGTAAAGAACTTCCAGATAAAGTGCTTTATTTTTCCCTTCACTCTAAGCTTCCAACTTCTTTGTCGCATCACAGAACCCATGCTCCCAGCCTTACACCCTTCTACAATATCTAGTTTTCTTACTTTTTCCTCTACCAGGTGAGCATAAGAAGCTGCCACAGAGAAAACTCTCTCACTGTAATGCATGCGTCTACATCGATCTTCCTTTGTCAGGTGTAAGGGTTATTATGTCCAGAATTGGCAACCCATCATATTTTTTAAACATTGCTTTTATGATTTCCTCCTTTCATCTTCTGCCCAAACTTTGGAACCCACAGCTTCCTGAATTCTAGTTTGATTCCATTCTCTAGTTTCTTTTCAAATAACATGAAGATGAAGGTTTTTAGAGCCTCAAAGATAGAAAAGTCTGAAAAGTACTTGCTCTTAAGGATTTGACAGACAAGAAGTTAAGGGTGTGCATTTATCCTCTCGAGCTGTTTGAGAATCGAAGTGGCATTGAATATTCTAATGTCCTAAAAACCCAAACCTCCATAAAGTTTTGGTACTGTTAACAGGTTCCAACTCTTTCAATGGATTCCCTTCCTCTTGCTCTCTCCCTTTGCTCCATCAGAAATGGGCTGTGGGCTAAGCTAACTCCGTGCAAATTCCAACAAATAGCTTGAAGATGACATAGCAAAACAAGAAGAGAGTTTACAACAACCTTTATCAATATCTCTTTTACAACTGTAGAAAGGTATTTTTCCTTCCAGTTTACCAATTTGTTTCTTGCTGCTTGAACGACCAAGTCAAATGCTTTGTTTTTAGATTTTCATATACCCAATGGTAGACCAAGATATCTGGTGGAGATATTAGGAGTGACCCCATCAAGAAGCATAAAAATACTGGTTTAAGAGTGGATAATGGTATTTCTGCTGAAGAATGCAGAAGACTGGCTCGAATTCACCTTTTGGCCTAAGAATTTCAGGTATTTGCTAAGAATATGCATCAGAAGGTAAGCTAGGCTAGAATTTGCTTTACAAAAGTCTAGTGAGTCGTCAGCAAAAAGCAAATATGTTATAGTGGGGACACCTCTATCAATTTTCATACCCCTGAAATTTCCATCTCTAGCAGCAGAGTTGATTAAAGCATTCAGAGCCTTAGATACAATAACAACGAAATAAGGGGATAAATGGCCCCCTTGTTTCAAACCTCTAGTAGGAACAATATAACCAACAGCTTTCCCATTTATTAAAAAAAAAAAAGGATGTTGAGGTGATACAAACAAATATCCATTTGATAAATGCACCATCAAAATCCATTTTCTGCATAATTTTCTTGACACTTCTCCACTAAACTCTATCAAAAGCCTTCATCATATCCAGTTTTATAGCCATGATGTTGGGTTCTGTTAGGAAAATCAACAACATGCATGTTTGAACAGTTTAAATAAATCCTCAATGGAATCTATAGTTAGGGTTAGAACATTACCGTTTATAATTTTTGTCGACTCTAAGACGTTACTGATTTCTTCTGTAGGGGATCGTCTGAACTACAAGGTCCGTTGGACAGCCGACTAGTTCTTCTTGGTTGAATTGGGTCGTCAGATCACGAACGAATTACCGGGAACTCGAGCTCATCGGGCTCGGGTCGATCGGACTGGGATGGGCTCGGTTGGGTCGCAGCTGGACCGATTGGCCTCTATTTGGGTCGCTGTGGTTCGGTCACGCGTCTGCTGGTCGGGGTGGTCGCGGTGGTCGCAGAGGGGTACTGGTCGCGGACGGCGTACGACTCGCTGGCATGGCGCGTCACGGACAGACAGATGGGTGTCGCAGGGGCGGGTCGGCAGCAAAGGTCTTAGAGCGTGCGGGTGCGACACTGCGACTTTCCTATGCCTGGGCGGATAGGCGCGGGGGCGTGCACCGTACGTTTCATTAGCGTGCGAGGACTGGGGCGCGCATGCTTCTCGCGCTGGGATCGAAACGCGAAGAACATGGGCGGCGGTGCGCGAGCAGGTAGGCGGAGCATATGGCTCGCGCGGGTGCAGGCGGTCGTCGCAGGGGACTGCGTGCCGGCGACTGGCTGTGTGCAGCCGGGCGCTGGCTGGGTTCCGGCGGCGATGATTTCCGGCGACTCACGGCGGCGGATGGTGGTCGTGGGTGGCCGGATCTTATATGATTAAAAGGCTCGAATAAATTGTACCTTAAGACTTTAAATGTATTACCTAAACACCTACTTCGATTAATCTTGGTGGTGCAATTAATCGATTCTCCCAAACTCTCGAATATATGAAGATCACGATATTTCTCTCTTTGGAAGACCTAAAAATCGAGCTCATCAATGTGTAGGGGAAAAGGTTGGGACATAATGTATTTATATGCTACATTAGGGACCTTAAGGAGATGCTAAATATGAGCTTACCCCTTTAGGTTTAGGAACCCTAATTATGTTCCATATTCTTCCCAACTATGAGTCCTATTCCTCCCTAATCACCCTTCTATAATACTCCAAAGTCTCCTAACCCTAGGGAAATATTCTAGATGGAATATTCCTCTTCTAATGGAATCTAAAATATGGAATATAACTAATTCATAATTTCCTAAATAGAATTAAATAATAAAACATTTCACTAGAGTAATATTCTTGCTCTCCCCATTTAGCTCCAACATATTCAATAAATTCGAACCTCCAAATGATTAATAAATATTAATCTAATTGATCGATTTATCTCCCTATGTTTAAGATATAACTTCCGCCGGTTAATTTAACTACTGACAATAAAATTAAATCGACTTCTTTCATTTCCGAAACTAGTACAACTCAGTTTATTAATCATTATGTCAGACAATTATCCACCTGCAGGGTTTGACATAATATTCCTTCCTAAGCTCATTTCGGGGACATTATCAACTCAGCGCAGTCAGACATAGTGACTGTAAATAATTTATAACATCACTTGATCTAAACACTCTTACTTACCAAAATACCGAGTATGTCATCCTAACATAATAGGAATCACCCTTGGTAAATCAAATAAATAATTAAGGAATATATATGCCCATTTTATATTATCTTACACTTAAGAGTATGCATCAATTACTAAAGGTCTAGATTATAACTACGATCAGTAAATCTTATTATTTTATCTTTCCATGGTTCGTTCAATACTTATCATAAGTACTAGTGTGACCCGCCAGTCAATGATCAACTGAATCAAGACTACACTACAATTTTTTTCCAACACAAATCTCACTGCCTGTCTAGACTATGAACAGTTAATTAATATTTTACAAGAAACCCAAGGGCGGAGCCACTAAGAGCACCCATAATGCTTTGGGTCTCTTAAAAAAAAATCAAGTGCCATGTAGGAAATAGACTTAGTCTAAAAAAAGATGTATTCCAATGCAATAAAAAGTAGACATGGTCTAGCTTATGTGGCACTAGAAAAAAGAGACCAAGACCACTCTTGGGTCTATTTTGGACCCAAGTTGTTGTAGCACAAATTGTTATTTTTACCGAGTACCGAATCGACAGATTCGTTCCCCGGGTCGATCTCACAAGGAAGGCGGTTCGGAATTTTGTTCTGATATTGATAACACATAGAAAGAAAATAAATCCTAAACATACTAATCAGATAAAGGGTTTGAATAACTATCTACTATGAAATAATAAAAAGCATGAATCTACCTATAAAGATAAATAAAATAAAGATGGAGAAGCTAGGGAGTCGGGGACAATTAATTCAAGTTCTAGCAAAACCGGGCAATTAATCGTTCGGTTCGAGTTTGACACTCTCGCTTAGACATCTAGCGGTTCGTTCCCAATAAGTCTTCGTAACAAAGGATTGAACATAGACGTACAAGCTTGAGCATAC